TTGCACTGGGAAATCACCATGGGTTGCTTTGGATTCGGCTAGATGCACAAGTTTTGGCATGTTTTCCTATTCATGGGGTTACAAAAGTGTTTCTCTGTGGACCCTGATGGTTTTGTGCTCATAATATCCCGCTTCGATTTTCAGCCTTTTAAAACCAAAAAGACGAAAGTGATCCCGTGTATAGATCTGTTAGCTCGTGTCATGTCTGAATCTCATTGTCTTGATTGAACTTAAAACTATTACCATTCCATCTTTGGACTTCTCTTTCACGGTAGGCAATGAGAACAACTGAGGCTCCACCAATGGCTACCCTTGGACTTGCTAGCGTTCTTCCACTGTCAGCTGTCTAGTAGACTACATTCTGTCATTCTGTCCAATATCTAGAAAAACAATCTTTATTTTTCTGTCTGTTACTTTGAATGCGACTAAGGTATTGGATTGGCACTTTATCCCTATTTTAGTGAACCAACAATTGCTGAGTGTCGGTTGTGCCATTAGTGAAATGCTTGTGACAGCTGGTTTCTTGAAACTGGACTTGTTGCATTTGAATCAAGTAGGTTATATCCATGGACATGCTTCTTCTTTGCCCCATGAGTTTGGAAAACGGGAAACTATTTCTTCAACCAAAAAACTAATATCGGTGAAGAGAGTTCTTTGCTGGGTTAAAAGGTGGTCATCTGTGACCATGACCGATGGATGCAGCGGATAGAGTGCTTGAACTTTTAGTGAAAAGGATTTATTTGTCAACTATATTAGTTTATAGATCATACGGGTGAAGATGATAGTTTACATTATCTGCTGAGGATGAGAGGAGGAGGTTATTGCGCTACAAAGTGGAAGTGTTTAACCCTATGGCTCTCAATTTAGTAAAGATGGATCATCGATAGCAGTTTTAACTCGAAAAGGTACATATATAGGCAAAGAGCTTTTGTTCATTTGATGGCATTTGCACCTGCATCTATGTTGCCGAGCTTCCTCCTGTGCCATCATTTCATTTAGGCCAGAGACGATGTGCCAGCCAATGACTTTCAACTCCTTTTGTCTTCTAGTTTACAAATTTAACTCTGACAACTCTTTTGCGCACATTTTCAAATGAGTTTGATATCAAATGATTGATCTTCCGAACTTTCTTCTCTAGGTTGATGCAGTGGTATACCTGGTGGACGCCTACGACAAGGAGAGGTTTGCAGAATCAAAGAGGGAGCTTGATGCCCTCCTTTCTGATGAAGCTCTTGCGACTGTGCCTTTCCTCGTGCTCGGGAACAAGATAGATATCCCATATGCGGCTTCGGAGGACGAGCTACGGTATCATCTAGGGCTCACCAACTTCACGACCGGCAAAGGGAAAGTGAATCTTGCAGATCAGACTGTTAGACCCCTCGAAGTGTTCATGTGCAGCATCGTCCGCAAGATGGGTTACGGAGAAGGGTTCAAGTGGATGTCGCAGTACATCAAATAGAGAGCAGATTTGATGGGGTTAGTAAATGTGTTGTGTATTCATGTAGTAGTTCGTTTTTCTCTTGGCAATATTGCAGGTTCAATTTTTAATGAGAAAGAAACCAAATCATCTGATTGCTTTTAATTTATATTGGAAACATAAGCACATAGAGGGTTCATGATCCATGACATTTCCTGATTTATGTTGATCACAGGTCCTGTTTCTGGATAGACATATTTTCGTTGTACAAGGACAATACATTATCGTTCGCTTTTGTTCCACCTGTATTGAAACTCAGTCATTGCTCCCCAAACGAAGTACTCTGCCTGGATTATATAAGTTTATAATAACACAGCTGGTATTTCTGGTCTTTCTGAGGGTCGAAAGCTCGACCTAAATATTGGTCATTGAGCATGAACTATGTAAATCTCTCTGTTGATTTCTTGTTTTAGGGTGGATATGTCTCGACCGAGCATACAGGTACTTCTTATGAGCTTCTTTTGTTGTCGCACTGATGTTCTGAAAATGAACTTAGCACTCTGCAAATATAGTTCGGATGTTTCGGGCAAAAAGAGATATCGGCCTCTTGTGCGCTACTCGACACCGATTGATCACCACATGACTGGTAATTGGACATCAGTATCTCCATTTCGCACTTCTGATTCATCAGTAAGATTCAAAGAGAATCTGCGACGAAAGTCTCGTGACAAAGTAGCCGCCTCTGGAAGGAAAAAGTCGAGTGACTTGAGGCTCTGTTCGCTTTGCGATGTTTTCCGATGAAGTTATGAGATTCTTTGGCGTTCGATGTGCGCGGAAGGGAACGTAGTTCTCGAGGATTTTCGAGCTTAATACTCGATCGGGGCTAGAATATATGGTTCTTCGCTGGGGACGTCCAGTGGCTTCTGGGGTCGGAAGAGAACTGCAGGGCGGGAGTTTGTCCAGTAAGTGAACTGGCCTGACTGTACGTTGCAACTGGCTGTGCTTGTTGGCAAATCATCGATAATGGCCGTGATGGGAGGTGGAATCGAGAGGTACGCGAGTTCCTGAAAATGAGTAGTGATGGAGGTGGAATCGGTACTTTCTTCGGTGGCTTATTCCGCCCGCCAAAACCCGGCACGGTATCGAGACCTCCCGAAATCCTAAACGAAGTACTCGGCCTTCTGTGGAAGCGACACCCGGCTAGCTTCTGTTCCTCCGACGGCGATTTCAACCGGGTCCTGAGTTCGATTGGATAGCCTGGGAGATTTTTTGGAGGGGAAAGTATGGGTTTTTGGAATGTGCGTGCTCCCCCTTTCCTCCCTATGCTATGCTCTCCCGGGGTTCCGTTGAATCTATCCTCCAAGAACACCTCCGCTGCTGCGCAGAGTATGTCTTCGGGATCTTCCACCTCCCTCTGGACTCTGCACTGAGATGCCAGGAGAGATAGTTAAGAAAGAAGAGTACAATGGAGGTCGTCGTGCATAAGGTTTAGGTCTAGTGATCAGATAAAAGTTTTGCGCTCGGTCCGGAATCAACGAGAGAGTTCTGGTCCGCCTCTCGATGGCCATCCTTTCGTGTCGGCGAAGGGTTGCGAGGCCGGACAAGGTACGAAGGGCGAAGCTTGTCAGTGATGACGCGCACATTCACGTTATTGCCTAATGATTCAGCAGCCGTAATGCATCAATTGCACCACAATTCATCAACTATGTTCTCGTAGTATGGCAAGTTGATGATGCCTCTAAAGTTGGAGAGCGAATAAGCCTGTTCTTGTGTCATGGGCTTTTCTTTCCTTTTCTTGATTTGTTGTTTTTTTTCCGGCCATCTAAACCACTTCATTTGTCAAAGGAGCTCTCTCACTCAGACTCTATTAAATGAAAAGAATTTCAATCTTCAGGAGATTTTACACAAAACCCTATGAGCTTCGGCTATGGCAAACCTGTGCCCCCGAACTCTTGATCATTACACGATAGCCCCCTCCACTTTCATTTTGTTATAGCCGTTAACCTCTCTTTCTTAACCGTTGGCACGGTGCAGTGCGCATGACTTTCAAAGGGCAGAAATACATTTTCATCTCGTTTTCTCGAAGGAAATATCGTTTTTACGCTTCCTTGACGTAAAAAAAAAATCGGAAGGAAAAAAAAACACCAATTAAATAAAAATGAAAAAGTCTCAATACGCAAAAGGTCAAATAAAAAAATTAATAGTTAATCATTATGTATATGTAAAGGGTTAATCGATGCAGGAAATAAATGATAATATTTTTTTCAAAAAATAAAAACTAAAATTGAAAGGAAACGACAGCATCAACTCAAGAAGAAAATGAGGAACCGAATCAATAACGATATTTTAAATGTCAATTATTGCCAATCATCTTCTTGCATTGGTTAATCGTTCAATATATTCAAAATCCATATATATATTTTTTGATTACCCGACCTTTTACTTTTTGTTAGCGAAGCCTTTTTCCTTTTCTACTCAATTATGTTTTCTCTCTCTAAAAAATCTCATTAGCTTATACAAATACTTCCGCGGATTCCGAACAATCTTTGCTTATTGTGCTATCATTCATAGTCACTTCTTCTGATATATTAGTTAATTCATTGTACTCCCCTTTCTTCATTTTTTGGGTTAATACCATGAAAAATCTCAAACTGATATACCCGCGATAAATTTACCCAAAATTAATTTTTTGACCACCTAAAACCCTATATTTGTAATAAATTTACCCTCCACTAATTTCCGTAAAATTAGATTAATACCCCAAAAAATCACAAACTGAGGTAAAATCCCAGACTGGTACACCACATGTCATCCAACTTGTCAATTTAACGGTAAAATTTAACGGAAACTAATGGAGGGTAAATTTATCACAGATGTATCGGTTTGGGGTTTTCTGTGATAACAAAATAGCTTAGGGCAAAATTTGTCACAAGTGTACCAGTTTGGAGTTTTTTGTGGTATTAATTTTTATTTTTTCTCCCTAAAGTTGAAGGCAAAGGAGAGACTTATTTTGAAAAAATGAAGAAGAAGAAAGACATGAAAGTACACACTACCTCTCGCAAGCCATGCGCATTGCATTTGTAAACCGAAATAGTTAACGGGTATAATAAAATGGAAAATTCAACAAAGATAATGCATAGTAGTCGCACTTGCGTATTACCCTAAAGTCTGGAGGAGATTAGGGTAATTCTCCCCGATTTCCAAAACACGAATCTATCTATCTATCTGTATATATTAATCAGCATATTAAATTGAAAGTCTCTTGTTTTTTTGCGAGCAAAAGGTTTGCCCCCGAAGTCACAAGCATAGCCTTCACCTTGCCATTAATTTTGATCCGCCCCATTCGACAAGCACGTCCTCACCGTACATCTGTCTAGCACCCGCCAAATTCCAACGGCCCAACTAAAGCGTAGATCACGATGTCCAGCCTTCGTGCCAAAGCTATAGAACAAAGCGCATATATTTGAAATGGTACCAAGCTGCTACTGCGGCTAAAGAAAGTGGCCTTCAAAACCTTCAAGCACTCACCTTTCATAAATCTTTCTTGTTTTCGGCTGTAAAGAAGAAGAAAAACAGAGGAGTGATGTCTCTGGTGGATTGGTTCTCTGGGTTTCTGGCGTCTCTCGGTTTGCGGCAGAAGGAAGCCAAGATCTTGTTCTTGGGGCTGGATAATGCAGGGAAGACCACTCTGCTTCGCATGTTGAAGGATGAGGTACTTTCGTTTCGTTTGACTTCACAGACACTCCCTTCCATGGAAATACACAGTTCTGAAGCTGCTTTTCTCGTATCATGATCGAGAATTTCTCTTTCCAATCCGTTCTCATTTTCGTCATTGATTCCTTTTATTTCTCGAGGCCTCTCTTCATTTCGTCCCCTGCGTGCTGACTGCATGACTCTTGCACTTGTGTGGTATCAGTTCATCGTGTATTTCTTGCTGCAGTGCGTTTATGTAGGGCGTTCATAGGAGGACGCATGCTTATTGAACGTAAGCTGAGCAATTCTGATATGGTTCTGCGATTGGCAGAGATTGGTTCAGCACCAACCCACCCAGTTCCCGACCTCAGAGGAAGTGAGCATAGGGAAGATGAAGTTCAAAGCTTTCGACTTGGGTGGTCGCCAGATCGCTCGTAGGGTCTGGCGGGACTGCCACGCTAAGGTGAAGTTTTGCTCTTTTTCTCTCCTCATCGAAAGCTCCGGATGTGGGATGCCCCTTTAATTGCGTGCCTTCTGGTTCATTCATTCCCGATTCTGTGATAGTTTCTAAATCTTCATGCGAGAATGATGCACGCGGGGTGGATCGTCCTGCCGAGAGGAGTAGGCTGCTTTTTTGCCCCATGAGTTTGGAAAACCGGAAAAACTTTTCCTTCACCCAATAAAACTGATATCGGTGAAGAGAGTTCTTTGCTGGGTTAAAAGTTGGTCCTCTGCGACCATGACCGATGAATGCAGCAGATAGAATGCTGGAACTTTTAGGGATCTTAAGCTAGCGTCGATAGGGTCAAGCATGTTGCCATCATGAATCTAAACTTAAATGTAACTATGTGCACGTGAAATAGCTGAAAAAGGATTTATCTGTCGACTACATTAGTCATGGATCATAAGGGTGGAGATGACGGTTTACATTATCTGCTGAGGACGAGAGGAGAAGGCTCTCTTCCATTTAGTAAAAAGAGGGATCTTCGACAGCAGTTCTAACTCGAAAAGGTAAATGTAGAGGCGAAGAGCTCTTGCTCATATCGATCGCATTTGCTCCTGCATCTATGTCGCCGAGCGTCCTCCTGTCCCGTCATTTCGTTTAGGCCGGAGGCGATGTGCGACTCAATGACTTTCCACTCCTTTCGTCTTCTAGTTTACAAATTTAACTCGGGACAGCTCTTGTTGCCCACGTTTTCAAATGAGATTAGCATCAAGCGATTGATCTTCCCGACTTTCTTCTCTAGGTTGATGCAGCAGTATACCTGGTGGACGCCCACGACAAGGAGAGGTTTGCGGAATCAAAGAGGGAGCTCGATGCCCTCCTTTCAGAGGAAGCTCTTGCCAAGGCGCCTTTCCTCGTGCTCGGGAACAAGATAGATATCCCGTATGCGGCTTCTGAGGACGAGCTGCGGTATCATCTCGGGCTCACCAACCTCACGACCGGCCAATGGAAAGTGAATCTCGCAGATCAGACTGTTAGACCCCTCGAAGTGTTCATGTGCAGCATCGTGCGCAAGATGGGCTACGGCGAAGGGTTCAAGTGGATGTCGCAGTACATCAAGTAGAGAGCCGATCTGTGGGGGGTTAGTAAACGTGTCGTATGGATGTTGTACTTCTTTTTTGCCATAGCCGAAGCCTTTTCCTTTTCTACCTAATCATGCGTTTTCTCTCCGAAACATCTCATTAGTTACCCGACCTGTTCTTGGGTCATGCATGGGCTTTTCTTTCCTTTTCTTGATTTTTTTTTTCCGGCCATCTAAACCACTTCATTTGTCAAAGGACCTCTTTGACTAAAACTCTATTAAATGAAAAGAATTTTAATGTTTAGGAGATTTTACACAAAACCCTATGAGCTTCGGCTATGGCAAATCTGTGCGCTCGAACTCTTGCTCATTACACAATACCCCCCTCCACTTTCATTTTGTTGTAGCCGTTAACTTCTCTTTCTTAACCGTCGGCGCGGTGCAGTGCGCGTGACTTTCAAAGGATAAAAATACATTTTCATCTCGTTTTCTCGAAGGAAATATCGTTTTTACGCTTCCTTGACGTAAAAAAAAAATTGAAGAAAAAATAAAATAAAACACCAATTAAATAAAAATGAAAAAGTCTCAATACCGGAAAGGTCAAATAAAAAAATTAATAGTTAATCGTTATGTATATGTAAAGGGTTTATCGATGCAAGAAATAAATGATAATATTTTTTCCAAAAAATAAAAATAAAAAGGGAAAAAACCACCAAAAACCCCAAACTTTACCATCTGTGACACATTTACCCCGAACTTTTTTTTGTGACACCAAAAACCCCGAACTTTGCTTTTGTGACACATTTACCCCAATGTATTTAGTCCATGGGCATTTTCGTCTTTTCTGCTTTTTCTTTTTTTTTCCTTTCCGGCGAGGGGAGGCCTCGCCGGATCCGGCGAGGGGGCCCTCGCCGGCGTCGAGCGAGGGCGGCCCTCGCCGCATCCGGCGAGGGCGGACCTCGCCTCGGCGCCGGCGAGCGAGTGGCGGCCCTCGCCCGGACTCAGCGAGGTCGACCTCGCGCCCGCCGGCGAGGGTCGACCTCGCCGAGTCGGGCGAGGGCCGCCTCGCTCGCCCAGCGAGGCGACCTCGCGGCGCGCCGGCGAGGTCCGCCCTCGGGCGAGCGAGGCCGCCCTCGCCCGATCCGGGCGAGGTCGACCCGCGCCGCCGGCGAGGGTCGACCTCGCTCGAGCTCGGGCGAGGGCCGCTCGCCGCCCAGCGAGGCGGACTCGCGCGGGCAGTCGGCGAGGTCCGCCGCCCGGGCGAGCAAGGGCGGCCCTCGCCCGATCCGGCGAGGTCGACCCTCGGCGGCCGAGCGAGGGCGGCCTCGCCGATCCGGGCGGCGGCCCTCGCCCGACTCAGCGAGGTCGACCCTCGCCGACGCCGGCGAGGGTCGACCTCGCCAGATCGGGCGAGGCGGCCCGCTCGCCCAAAGCGAGGCGAACCTCGCCCGACGCGGCGAGGGCCGCCGCCTCCCGGACTGGGCGAGGGCCGCCCTCGCTCGACACCGGCGAGGGCCCCTCGCCCGGATCCGGCGAGGCCGACGCCGGCGAGGCCCTCGCCGGAAGGACAAAAAAAAGAAAAAAAGAAAAAGCAGAAAAGACGAAAATGCCCATGGACTAAATACATTGGGGTAAATGTGTCACAAAAGCAAAGTTCGGGGTTTTTGGTGTCAAAAAAAAGTTCAGTAAATGTGTCACGATGACAAAGTTTGGGGTTTTTTGTGGTTTTTTCCCAAATAAAAATTGAAAGGAAACGACAGCATCAACTCAACAAGAAAATGAGGAACCGAATCAATAACGATATTTTAAATATCAATTATTGCCAATCATCTTCTTGCATTGGTTAATCGTTCAATATATTCAAAATCTATATATATATATATATATTTGGTTACCCGACCTTCTACTCTTTGTTAGCGAAGCCTTTTTCCTTTTCTACTCAGTTATGTTTCTTCTCTCTGAAATATCTCATTAGCTCTACAAATACTTCCGCGAATTCCTAACAATCTTACTTATTATGTTATTATTGATAGTCACTTCTTCCGATATATTAGTTAATTCATTGTACTCCCTTTTCTTTATTATTTAGGTTAATATCATGAAAAATCCCAAATTGATACATCCACGATAAATTTACCCCAAATTAATTTTTTGACTACTAAAAACCCTATATTTGTGATAAATTTACCCTCTACTAATTTCCGTGAAATTGGATTAATACCACGAAAAATCACAAACTAAGGTAAAACCCCAAACCGGTACACCACGTGTCATCCAACTCGTCAATTTAACGGTAAAATTTAACTGAAACTAACGGAGGATAAATTTGTTACAGGTGTATCTGTTTGGAGTTTTCTGTGGTAAAAAGATCAACTTGGGGCAAAATTTGTCACAAGTGTATCAATTTGGGGTTTTTCGTGATATTAATTTTTATTTTTTTCCCCAAAGTAGAAGGCATAGGAGAGATTTATTTTGAAAAAAGAAGAAGAAGAAAGACATGAAAGTACACACTACCCCTCGCAAGCCATGCACATTGCATTTCTAGACCGAGAATCGTAACCGAGAGAGTTAACGGGTATAATAAAATGGAAAATTCAACAAAGATAATGCATAGTAGTCGCACTTGCGTATTACCCTAAAGTCAGGAGGAGATTTGCGTAATTCTCCCCGATTTCCAAAACACTAATCTATCTATCTATCTGTATATATTAATCAGCATATTAAATTGAAAGTCTCTTGTTGTTTTGCGAGCCTAAAGGTATCCCGAAGTCCAAACACGGCCTTCGTCTTGCCATTAATCTTGATCCGTCCGATTCGACAAGCACATCCTCCGATTCGACAAGACAATCCTCACTGTACATCTGTCTAGTACCTGCCAAATTCCAATTCCTCAACTAAAGCGTAAGATCACGACGTCGACCGTTCGTGCCAAAACGATAGAACAGAGAGCATAAATTTGAAAAAAAATGGTTCCAGGCTGCTGCTGCAGCTAAAGAAAGTGGCCTTCAAACCTTCAAGCACTCACCTTTCATAAATCTTTCTTGTTTTCGGCTGTAAAGAAGAAGAAAAACAGAGGAGTGATGTCTCTGGTGGATTGGCTCTCTGGGTTTCTGGCGCCTTAGGACTGGATAATGCAGGGAAGACCACTCTGCTTCGCATGTTGAAGGATGAGGTACTTTCGTTTCGTTTGACTTCATAGAGACTCCCTTCGATGGAAATACACAGTTCTGAAGTTGCTTTTCTCTTATCATGATCTGAGAATTTCTCTTTCCAATCCATTCTTATTTTCGTCATTGATTCCTTTTGTTTCTTGAGGCCTCTCTTCATTTCGTCCCCTGTGTGCTGATTGCATGACTCTTGCGCTTGTGTGCTATCGGTTTATCGTGTATTTCTTGCTGCAGTGCGTTTATGTAGCACGTTCATAGGAGGACGCGCGCTTATTGAACGTAAGCTGAGCAATTCTGATATGGTTCTGCGATTGGCAGAGATTGGTTCAGCACCAACCCACCCAGTTCCCGACTTCAGAGGAAGTGAGTGTAGCGAAGATGAAGCACCAACCCACCCAGTTCCCGACTTCAGAGGAAGTGAGTGTAGGGAAGATGAAGTTCAAAGCTTTCGACTTGGGTGGTTGCCAGATCGCTCGTAGGGTCTGGCGGGACTACTATGCTAAGGTGAAGTTTTGCTCTTTTTCTCTCCTCATTGAAAGCTCCGGATGTGGGATGCCCCTTTAATTGCGTGCCTTCTGTTTGATTCATTTGCGGATTCTGTGATAGTTTCTAAATCTTATGCGCAAAATGATGCATGCGGGGTGGATCGTCCTGCCGAGAGGAGTCGGATGCTTTTTTGCCCCATGAGTTTGGAAAACGGGAAAAACTTTTCCTTCAGCCAATGAAAGTGATATCGGCGAAGAGAGTTCTTTGCTGGGTTAAAAGGCGGTCCTCTGCGACCATGACCGCTGGATGCAGCAGATAGAATGCTGGAACTTTTAGTGATCTTAAGCTAGCGTCGATAGGGTCAAGCATGTTACCATCATGAAACTAAACTTAAATGTAACTATGTGCACGTGAAAAAAGGATTTATCTGTCGACTACATTAGTCATGTGTCACGGGTCGATCGATCTAGCGTTCCCACATCCGTGCGGCCTTAGGAATTTCTCCCCAAGTAAGCCTTTCCACACTCACACTCGCAAGAACTTTAGAGAGAGAAACTCTAAAGAGAGAAGCTCTGAACTTTGTATTGCTTCTTGGAAATGAGAGATGATCAAATGAGGGGAGGAGACCCCATTATATACAAGTATCGGGCTGACCGTATCCGTAGATCTCTCCCCGATCTCAACGGTCGAGATCGTACTCCCCCAACTACCCCACCTACTGCATTTATTACGGAAGGGTACAATTACCGTATCGCCCGCCCCCAGGAATATTCTAGAAGACATCAAGAAAACCCTAGTATTAGAATACTCGGGGCCCGCCTTCTCGTCCAAGGGTCGGTCACGGTCCATCGTCCAGAAAACCTCAGGAACGATCCAATTCTTCGGGCCGTGACATTCTCCCCCACCTATTTGGGCGACGCCCTCGTTGCGTCTTCGGCATGGAAAGCATCGATATGTTTCTTGAATTGCCAAAGAGCTTCCTCGGGCTGCCAACTTGCTTCACTCTCCGGAAGACCCTTCCATCGGATCAAGTATTCTCGCTTCGGCGCACGATATCTCTTCCGTATGACTCAATCCGCCATGATGAAGTCGACGTCTTGATCATAGGAGGTCTTTGCTCCTAGCGGTGCCCGTTGCGACTCCCCTCAATCCGGGTCCTCTTCGTCTACACGGAAAGGTTTAAGCATACTCACATGGAATACCGAATGTACCTTAAGCTTTGGTGGGAGTTCCAGTTTGTATGCGACCTTCCCGACTCGATGCAACACTCGGAATGGCCTCTCATAGTGACGTATAAGCCCTTTATGCACGTCCTTGTATCGGAGCACAAGGTGTAGCTTGGCCAACACCAAGTCCCCGACTTGGAATTCCACGTGCCGTATCTTCTTGTCGGCCCACTTCTT